TTCAACAGCAAGAGAGACAGAAGAAGACAGGAGAAAAAACAGGAAGAACCATAGAGACAGACTGACAGAAATATGGGACATCAGGCAGAAAACCAAACGCATTCCCCCACGTATAAAAATCTGTTCTCTAAACAGCTGTTCCCAAAGGACCAGTTCCCTACACAGGCACCACAGTGGACAGCAGACAGTTTGTCCTCCGAATGCTGACAGCTCTCCCGGGAAGGTCCTGTTAAATCACAGCACACAGACAAACAACAGACAAAAACTGTGCGCAAAGGGGGATGCTGCAGTCAGGAATAAGTGGTACGATGCACCGCATGGCTCCGCCACACAGCGTGCAATGGAACAACGGACCATTTAATCTATTATACAAACAACGCTCAAAAATTAGCCTGTAAGGAAAAGTAAAGGGAGCTTGGAATCAATATTTTCAATCAATATGACTATTCGGTTCTGTATAGACACACACCACAATAAGATATAAGATAAAAGAATAAGATAAAAATCCTCCTTTTCTCCGCTACCATACAACAGCGCCTGCACTTCACTACTAGGCTACATCTCTAGATGTTATATGGGCTGTCTCCTCCTGCCAAGAGAAAATATAGCAATTTGAAGCAGCTTGTTGGCTGGCAGATCGTAAAGAGAAATAAAAAAAACCTCCATAGCAGGTGTCACCTCGGGGAGATGAACAACTGCAACGCAAGGGGATTTCAAAAGGGGCCTGTCACTCGGCCTGAGTGACCTTGAGGACTACACACATATTGGGAACGTAAAAGTCCACACCACTAAAGCAGGGTGGGAAGAGTCGTCACACTCAAGGGTGGTGTCAGCTTTCTTCCGCCGTAGAAACAGCTGTGTAGACATGCATAAAACGTTGGGTGGGTGAGAGAGACATGTGCAGCTGTCGGAAGGATATACTCTTGAGACATGGACAATTTGGGAAAGACTTTAAAGCATTCAACTGTAACTGGTTAGATTTTTGTTCTTATTAGGTGCACTAAAGTCTGACAAAAGGAAGGGATTTTAAGACATTCGGTCAGATTAAAGCCTGTGAAACTGTTCTTCCTAAGAAGAGACATGCTGTCAATGTAATTTTATGTACAATACACAAAAACTTTCGTCCTGGAGGAGGCTGTTGACAGATTAGGACATTCTCTGACTGTCTTTTTTGTACTGTCTCGTTTTTTTTGGTAACACTGATGGGTTTTGTTTCAAGCTCTGCTTGAGCCTCTGTAGTTTTTTATGTAGCATCTGCTCTTTCCTAGTGGCTTTGACAAGACACCCGCTTTCAATGAAACAGAATTGACTGAGAAGTCTCTTATACCTGTAACAGACACACACACACGCACACAAAATAACGTTTTAGATCCAAAGTAATTCATACAACAATACCACAAGTTAAAGATTCCCTTCTGGAGTCCATCCTGTCTCACTGGAAGTTGTAGTCGAGCGCGATGTTTATCTTTACTACTTCCAAAGAAACATACTTCACTCGTCATCATAAAACTTCTTATCACACAGATATCAACCTCAAACTACCATTAAAACAACAATTAAAAATAATGGCAGCAATCTGACAGCACAATGCAACACATTAAAAACAACACACTTCATAGCAGCTGTTAAGACTGCTAGGTTAAAGGGAAGAGAAATTTTTTTGAACTCTGTTACTGTTTTTCCCTATTTTTTTCAGAAATTATGCAGAATGGAATGTGCATTTGGTTTTAGCCTGGGTGGGGTCACTCTACACCAGTACGGGAGAGGCAGTGGGAGGAGGCTGGCCCCAAAATATCACGTCAGAGCTCCAGCCCCGTCCAAAGGGGAAAGCAAAGCAAACAGCAACTAACAGGAACCAGACAGTCAGACGGGCTTCTTCTGCACTGGGGTGGCTTTCATCACACACACACGCAATTTCTGGCGGCGGGGTAAAGTTTGGGCTGGTGCTGTGGAAACCCTTGTAAACCTCAGACTTGTGAGGCTTTAGAGGAGTCAGACTGTCAAGAGTCGCGAGTGTCCCAGCCACGATTTCTTAAACCCCAGGGGAGGGAATGTTTTATCCGTTTTCTAAGCGCAGCATAGAAACGTCGGACCAGTCTGGCATTACAGGGCTGCCTTCTGGACCTTGAACAAACCGGTTCCTCCAAAGCCACAAAACCATATGGTGCAAGACACCAAATGACATGTTGGAAAAGCTTTTTTTAAAAGAGAGAATGATACATTGATCAGTCTGTTTTAAGAATTTTTACTATATTGAAAAAAACATACATGCTCACAGGTCAAAATTAGTATTTACAATAGGCTTAAACGTGTTTTTGAACGTACTTAAAAAGCATTTACTGCTTATGCCAGATTTAGCACACAACATCTCTGCAGAGCGCACTCTCTTCTTCTACCCCTTTGTCCCCGCAGTAAGCACACAGCTTTGTTGATTTTTATGAACAGGTAACACAGACAAAATGCAAAGAAATGCGACTTTGGGCCTAGTACAACATGTGAGACAATTCACCCCCCAAAAAACAAAAAAAAAAACTGCCTATCACCTCACCAGAGGATTAAGGAAGTGAGGACTGTGAAAAAAGTGTGATCAAACTAAGTTTAGTGACTGACTGGGTTCATTAAGAAAAAAAAACACCCAAAACTTGTAACAACACAGCACTTCCTTCTGAGATTGATTTCACTAGTTAACTCCACCAAGTAAAAGGCAATAAGTGGAAATAAACAAGTTAGTTTAATAAATTTAAACATAAAAAACCCTCCCTACTGATCACACAGAAGCTAAAAAACTATGTCTTGCTTTCAGTGGGTTAGGTCATACAGTGTGCCAAGTTGCCAGCAGCAGCACGGCTGAGTTGTTGGGAGTAAATGAGAGGTGCACAGACTGTGTGCATGATCCCTGTTCTTTACTGTTCAGACGATTGTTGGGGGGTCTACGACTATGGGAGCTGGAAAAATGGCACAAAGGGGAGCTGGGATGAAAAAGAAAACAAGCCTGCTTCCTGAGTCGCCCCTCAATGAAAACATCAACACGCCCATAATTCGTAATTTAGTCTAAAAAAACAACTGACTAAAAAAAGACCATAATTGCTTTACAAAGGAGACATTATGGGTTTATTTTCATTAGAGGGAGTAATCAAACGTGGTGCCTTTAGTAGCAAAATATGGTATGCTATCATAACACCCTGCAACATTTGTAATTCTCTTATTTCTCAAATCTCTGTGGTTTACTGATGAACTGCTTTTTGCGGGCCTCAAAACTGAAATTTAAGTTACAATTTCTACATGTGAAAATTACTGTTGCTATAGACAATCTCATATGGTGTCTGTGACATTCAATTGGCAGACTATAGGGACATTATCTACTGCACCAAAATAAAATTCATAGTTTAAACCATGTATAATTAATGTAGTGTTATATAAATATTATGTTTGCACTGTTTTTTTAGTTTTTTAGTGCGACGGTGAGGAAACACTCCACTTTAGGTCTGAGGAGTCTTGTTTATCGCCCATCAAGGAAACAAGAAAATCTTTGCAGACCGGTTTAGCAACTACATACTACAGAGCCTACTCATCCAGGCATGCAACCGAAACTAGGAAGTATGCACTGCTGCTCCTATGTTGTCTTGTGTAGAAATCACCCATTTATCCCGTGAAGTAGTCAGAAAGCCTGTTATTTGTTTTATTCACCAAAGAGTCACTGTGTCCATCTCGACACTACACACAGCATGGGGACAGTCTGCTAGGGGGGCTGTGGCGCTCTCTAGTGTCCCCAGCTCAGTTACATAAACCATAGGTCCAACCTTCTGCTTAAGACCAGCTTACGCTATTGATACTATCAACATAAAACGGCGAATAAAGCCTCGTTTTATCAGCGCCGTCGCTTGTGCAAAAAAAAAACCGAAGTGACAACACGCAAGATATAACATGCAGACAGACAAATCCCGTCTGGACGGCGCCGCCGACAAAAGGCGACGCAGTTTTTTTCGGTAGAGCACGCTTGACTGGCAAAAAAAACGACGACTGCTGCAGCAAGGGAAGGAAATATGACCGAGAGAAGCATACCCCTCGCTTTTGAGGACAAATATTGTAGTAGTGAAGGGGAGACCAACAAAAACGGCGCCCCCCCCCCTTTTTTTTAATGAAAAAGTTAGACGGCTGAAATAATCTTCGTGCAGTCCTCCCTCCCTCCCAGCAGCAACTCACTGGCCATTGTTTGGGCAACAAGCAGACACATTCCTCCGTGCTTTAAAGCTCGTCCGCCGGGCAACAACTACAAACACAACCCCCTCTCTCTCTCACTTGAAGCAAATAACTTTTATAACACTTTATAACATTTTACTCTTAAGACGCCTTTGTTGGTTGGTGTTTATTTAAAAAAAAAAAAAAGTTATCGCTGTCGTTTCTTTTGGTTTGAATTCCTGAAGAGTTAAGCGGAACGCAGACACCCAGGGCTCGCTAGCTTAAAATGTGGCTAACCTAAAGCAGCTACGTTGCTAGGGGGAACATGTGGAATCGGGGCCCTGGTTTTCTAAATTAATTTTAAAAGAATCGCCTTTTTCTCACCCACCTTAAAAAAAAAAGTGTGCTTCAAAACTTATCTGCGAGCGATGTTTGTGAACTGCACTGACAGTCACAGGCGGGTCTGATTCTCCTAAAAGTGAGTGAGATTTAAAAAAAACAAAAGTTTTCGTCTTGTCACCACAAAGTCAGGAGTGCAGTCGATGGGGGGGGGTCGTAACGTTGGCCACATCTTCTCTGTGGTCTACCTCACTCAGGATACTACTGGGGGTCTTGTTGTGAGTGTGTTATAATGCCCGGTGGTCAGCAATATATCGGTGTATAAAAGAGAATATAACGTTATGCAGCAGGGACGACCAGCGAAGCCGTGCCCGACACCGGACTGCGCCGTGGTCACGCTTCTCTCCCCCCACCCCCCAACAACTACCACCCCTCCGGCGTCGTCTCCCCCCTTCCCCAAAACGCTCCAGACTACCGCTTACCTTCATCGAGAAGCCTCTCCAGGTGTGTGAAGATGCCGCAGAGATTTGGCAAACTGGTCATGAGCTTCTTCTCGTTTAATAATTGCATCAAATAGTCGGGACTCGGCCTCGGTCGCTCCTTCACTTCGACCTCTCCGACCATCATCTTTGCGGCGAAAGCGGAGAATAAACCACCGCGAAAACACAGAATCCTCTTTTAGCGGGGAGAAAAAAAAAAAGGAGAAGAGGAAAAAAAAACGGAAAAAAAAAAAAAAAAAAAACTTGCGGCTCCAATCCCTCGCTTCCCTCCTCCTTGTGATGAGAAGACTCTGTAAAAACCCCCCTAAAAATTCAGGTTTGGTTTGTTCTTGTTGTTTGAGTGGAGAGGGGGGCAAAAAAAGAAACCGTTATCTTCCTTCCAGAGACTCGTGCGCCGTACTCTCCTCTACGCCGTGTGCGCTCGGGGACGTTCGATTCCACCACTGTAGGCGCGAGAGACTGTTCCACCGGAAAGAGTCCGTCCTCCTCAACGCCCATTGGCCAGCGGGGCTTTCGGGGGACTAATGGGAGAACCAATGAGCGCTCACACCCGAGTCAGGTGGGCGGGGCGGAGTTGTTGGCGGAATGATGGACAGGCACATGAGCCAATGGCGTGCAGTGCGCAGGAATGTGCTGCCCCTGAAGTGTTGTCAACACAGACTGGCACACATTTACTTCTTTCACCCCCTTTTTTCCCTCACTAATAGCAACATTATAGCAGTTAAACATTTTCAGACTCCCAACAATGTTTTAGTTTGTCTGTCGTCTCATAACTTTAACACCAAAGGCAAGTACAGCACCATGTGACGAATTGGAGTCAGCTGAGGTTTTATTTTCTGTCTTTCTTTGTTTTTAGACAGCTAGGTAAATAATTTAAAAATCCTGAATTAGGAGCCCTCTTTTTTTCCCTTTTTTTTATTGTAACACCCACAGGGCCCTTTCAATTTGTAGCTCAGCTGTTTTGTTTATTATAACCTTGCTCCTCCACAAAATAACTTTATTTTATGCCAACTGGTATTCATGTTGCTTCCCTGGTGTGAAAAATGTAGTATACCAAAAGGGTGAACAGTGCTGTAGAAGGATACAAATCATACAGTAATCCTCTTTACCAAGTGTGAAGAAAATGAAGTCCTTTGTGTTACACAGGATCATCAGCGTGGCCCTTCACGTCGCTTAACCAGTGTGAAAACAACATTCCAGCGACTACTTGAAAGCACAGCAGCTCCATTTGTTGCTCCTCTTTCACAAGGCTGTAATTCTATGGCTTAGTGATTATTTATATGGCTCTACTTTTCTGGTATGGACTAGTGATCTGGTCTGAATAGTCCTCCGTGGGTTCAATCTCCCACTTCATGCACAGAGTTTGTGTGTGTGACAGAGGCGCTATACTTGCCAAGACCAGCCTACGAATCAGGATGATTGTGGATTTTCATGTGTAGGCTTCACTTTTGGGTGTCAAAATATGAAAAAATGATTAACCTGTGCAGTCCATATCCTACAAGATACCGTTGTTACTCAAGACTTGTACATCTTGTTATCTGTCTTGGGACCGATTGATCAGCGTTCTAGTAATCAATAGAGCCTTTTCATTGTCCTGTCCTTGGGAGGACCTTTCTACATATCCTCCAAAGATTAACATCCCTGATCAATGGAACTCACACACACACCAGCTACCTCCGGCTTCTCACATCCTGCTTAGTGTGAAAATAAACCACAACTGGTCCGGTTTGATTTTAACAGCTGTTGGCTGAGAGGGGCCCGGCTAAATCTGAGCCCTGACCTTGGCCCTCATTCAATTTGTCCGCTTACTGCTCACCCACTCGTGTCTTTGTAAAAGTAGTCCCCACGCTGGGTGCATGAATGCTCAAACAGCTGCACTATGACCTTCTGGTTGCCGTTTGTCGACACTGTGTTGGTATAGAGGGTAGTAAATTAAGTGAGAACTCTTAGTATCAGTGCAGCCTGTCCAATAAATTGATCAAACAAAACTTACGAGGTCCAGTCAATATCTTTTAATTCGACTGTCTTTGTATAATTAACTCAATAGACATATGCCTCACACTTCAACATATATACAAACTGTAAACCTGCTTATACACAAAATATATCACACATATTCCCGCAAAATGTTTTTGCAATCAGTCCTATAGCCCCAGATAACAGCATCTGAGAGTGTAGCAGGCGACAGGAGCCTCCACATCAAAGCAGGGAGACAGATACAGTTGCCTTAACAACCAGTGCAACACGTCCACTGAATCCTGCTTCTCTGCCCTTCAGCCAACATCTACACAGTCTGCTACAGTATGTTATTTCTATAATCATTGTTGAGCTGCAGACGAACCAAGTCTGGGGCAGATGAGACACTTTTGAAAATGAAGTTGTTAATTTTGAAAGCCATTACATAGGCGTCTGCAGGTCTGATAAGCCTGATTATATTAATCACTGGAGTTGCGGAAGGTTGCAGAAACACTTGTAGCAATGCAAAGATGCAGATTACTTTTTTTTGTCTTCAATTATATTGGAATCAGTTCACTTGTTTAAAATGATAATTTCTTAAACTTTGATTTCAATTTGGACTTTTGTTTGTAACTGTGTATGAAAATGAAAATTATGCTCCTCAGTTAGATTAAACAGCGTAATATCTGAAGTGCCCCGCTAGCGAATCCATTGTCTGCTTGAGTGTGGGGGTATATCCCATTTAATTATCATAATTTCAACCAGTGACCATACCAAAACACAGATAGCAAAGGGTTTTTGCATAATGGTTTGTCATTTGCACCTCCACCAATTACACAGGACATGTAACATTAGTCCTGTCATCCAAATGGTCGGCAGTATCAGCTTAAAGCCGCAATGATAAAACATCCCTTGAAGTCAAACACTGATAAGTGATTTTGGTGGATAAGAGCGTGTAGATAGGCAGAGGGAATGAGAAACCCCATTTTTCATGTGACTTGGAGATAGCTAAATTGTTCATGGTGTTGACTTTATGTTTCTCTTTTATTTCCTCCCTTAATCTTTGAATATAAGCGATGGAAAAAGTCACAGACTTCTTGCATCAAAAAGAATCTGGCATTTATTCTGAGCTTTGAAAATGGGTTTAGTTCTTATCTCGGCAGTGCGCATGGTAATTTGCACCTTGCCTAACGCTCGTTCTTCTGAGTTGGGTCACATACGGCTTCTGTGTGCGTGTTGATATGTGTGCGAAATAGAAACACAGATTTAGAGGAAGAGAGTGAGAGAGAGAGACACACAGGCAGAGCATACCTAAACGTGTGTGTGAGCCTGTGCATGCTTGTGTCTTCTGACAGCCCGAGAGTAAACAGAAATTATATTAATCCCCCCTTTTGCTCCCCCTGCCCTTGTGTTTTCGTCATTTTTAATAACACGCTTTCTATTCAACAATTAATCCAATTAACAAGGATCCAGATAATTAATGAACATGCGTTTAGCCCCTTTTGAAGAGAGGCTGTTAGCTCACTCACAATGAGCTCGGAGAGCGCCCTGGGTTTTCAGCTAAAAGTATGCTGACAGAGACAATGGGGCCCTCGGTAGGGGCCCTGTATCTGGTTGCAGCCTGCCTCGGGGGCCACAGCCGCAGGAAAGTGGGAGACGGTGACTCTGTCGAAGCAAGGCTGTCTGCGATAAGGGCTGTAGCTCTGGAAGAAGCGAACGGAGGCCCACAGGCTCTGATTACACACATACATACAAACAAGAACAACATCTTTCCCTTTTTCTTTTGACTTACTAGTTTGGGGACTGTGGGGAGAAAAAAAGTGCTGGCAGAATCTGGGTCATTTACATTTTGAGGAAGGTGTGAGCACAGCGCAACAGAAATAAATGTCCTTCTAGCAACCACAGCATATACAGAGCATATACAGAGAAATACATAATGTACCTATTATTCATTTTAACTCGTATCATAAGCATGACATGACAAATGCCCCGCTCCTGCTTGTGTGTTCATGCACTGTTGCACTCGTACTTGTTTGTGTGTGTGCTGGTATTGAATAGTGTGTGTGCATTTGTTATTGTCAGTGACTGTCAGTGAACGTTATGTATTCGTCTTGAAATCACCTAAAGTAAAAAAGGATGAAGAGGAAGAACATGTAAGTAAAAATCGTGGTCATCAACCACTTTCTCTTGTTGTTTTACTTTAGTGGAGCTGAAGATTATATGTGCATTAATTGGTAAGTTTAAGGGCCTCTACTTCTCTTTTTTTTAAAATATCAATATAATGATCACACATAGCAGTTGTTGCCATTTAATTGTCTCTATGTTTATTCTGACGACTTTGCAATCATACAATTGATTGATTGATCAAAGTCTGTGCGCGACAGCAAAGGAATTACTGCTCACTGTGGCTAACAGGTAGCACTTAAGAGCCAAGACCAAATCAGTGTTTTATGCTTGTTCAAAACAAAACAGAAAAATATGTAGAGGAGACAACAACAACAACTCAATTGTGAGTTTGGCAGCAGTAAAACACATTATAGGTGATCAAGGACAGCAGGAAGTGATATAACTTAGGGACGGTGTGCCCCACCCTTTACCATATGTTGTTTGTAATGCATAATTGTGTTGTTTGAACCAAAAAAAATAACAAAGAAGAAGAGATTTAGCTGTTTTCCTTTCATCAGGATTTTATAGATAGAGAACTATCTGAAAATAATTTAGATTTAGCTGACCTAGTGTTGATGTAATCTCTATCTTGCTGTGAATGGCCCCGTTTACACCTGGCAGTAACAGTGTCTTGTCTGGGTGATCTGATAACAAGCGGGCTGCTCTAGGTACAGATGTAAATGATGCATGTCTGATTGTTCAGACCGCATTTGGAGGTGGTCTGGGCTGCATATGGTGCATGCGTATGCAAATGTGTCCAAGGCCACACTGAAGTACCATCTACCCAACCGTTTAAGTACACATGAAACACACTGATGTCTGATTTCCGGATTTGGTTACGTGTTTGGGCTGTCTCACCTGCCGAGATGAGTAGCAGATGCTTGTGAATACACTGGCTATTTCAACTGATTTCATCTATGAACTGGTAACCGCAACATCTCCAGACTCCCTTGAAAAGTTCTGCAAAGAGTCGTCAAGTGGGGAGAAACTTAATACACTTTGCAAAATGACTAGGACAAATTCTTAATTTTTACCTTTATGTAAATTCAACATTAAATGCAACACATTCAGTTGTTTGTTTCTTTTTCTTTCCAAAAAACATTGTGCCAGTTTGTCACATCACTGTACTGTATTTAGCAGCTTGGTGCTTGAACACTGGTTTCAACTGATTTCACCATTTACATTAAATTTATTTGTCAAATTTTACAAAGACAGTACACAGTAACCAATATAGCCCCCTTCTTTGTTGTCTTCCGTGTAGAGAGTCCCCAGACTTTATTGTAGAAATACCTGAAAGTGATTCAGTTTTAGCCAGCCTAGCATGGATGT